TCTTCAAAGCTCAACTTCCCCCTATAAACACTGTAACACTTATATTGTTATTTATAGGTTGAGTTAATGTTAATATTGTCTTTGAACCAGACTGAAAGCACTTCAAGGACAGGATGAAAACTTTTCTATTCATCGTAATGCCCAGAACATTGTTTGGCATTCATGAGATGTTTAATAAATATTTTTGAGAGATTAACTTTGAGATATTATCAGGACAATTTATGATTTTGTTATTTTATAGGTTGGAATTTTATGTTTAGAATAAGTTGTGGTATTCAATAGAATTACCCATGTTTATTTGTTTCCTATGTCAATAAATATTTCTTGAGCAAATGTTCTGTTTTAAACACTGTTCAAGATGATGGAGATACCCAGACACATGCTTATTTCTGCCACAGAACTTAAAATATTCCCTCATAAAATGAGGATGCCAGTAGCTTGTCTTGAAACTAGTCTTCCTTGAAAATAGGAACATTCAAAATATCACATAAGTATTCTGCTTTTACATTCTTTTTTAATTTGCTTTATTCCTGAAAACTAGAAAAGTAGGCCTTCAGAAAAGCATTTCATAAATTTTAACATTATTTAAGATGAAAATGATGATAAAAAAGAATACACACAAAGGAATATTACTCAGTTATAAAACAGAATGAAATCCAATGGCATGGATGGAGCTAGAGTGTATTATGCTAAGTAAAATAAGTCAGGGAAAGACAAATACCATATGATTAAAATCCACATGTGGATTGAGCAAAGGGAGGAAAAATTGTCAGAGAGGCAAACCAAGAAAGAGATTCATAACTATGGAGAACAAACTGATGGTTATCAGAGGAGAGGGGGGTGGGAGAATATGTTAAATAGGTGATGGGGATTAAGAGGCGAACTTGTGATAAACACCAGGTGTATGTAAGTGTTGAATCACTAGATTGTACAAATGAAACTAATATTACACTGTATGCTAACTAACTAGAATTTAAATAAAGACTTAAAAAAGAATAGAGAATTCTCTTCTCTTGATAATAGCTATCTATAAAAAACTTATAGAAAATTTCATACTTTCCCATTAAGTCAACACACATTAAGATCAAGAATAAGGTTACAATACACCAAAGATGTCTTTGATTCTTCTTTTCTTCACAACTTTTGTTGGATCTGATTAACTCAAAAAATATCTAAAATATGACCACCTCTCATCAACTGCTACCAACTTGGTCAGCCACTGTTATATTTCTTCTGTAGAAAAAGTACATCACAACATGTCACTCCTCTGCTTAAAAATTTCAATGAAGGGATGCATAGCTCCTTTTGGGAGTGATTGAAATGTTCTGAAACTTGATTGTGGCAGTAGTTTGACAAGTATAGATATGCATTTATATATGTGAGATATGTATATATAAACTCAGCAAGTTATCCATTTAAATGGATGCAGTTTATTGAACATCAATATAATTAATAAAGATTATGTTTAGGATTGACAGTGTTAAATTAAACCTAAGAGAAACAAACTAACTTGCAAAAAAAAACTTTAATATTTCACCATGTCACTCAGAATAAGTGTCAAATTTCCACAATTGCCAACAAAGTCCTAGACAACTTTCTCTCTGATCTCATCTTATTTTCCTCATCATCAATCTGACCTAGCCCCTTTGGCCATCTTGCTGTTCCTAGAACATCCCAGGAATATTATTTAGGTTCTTGCCCTGATATACCCCTCTACATAGAATATTATTTCCTTAGATTTACACATGGCTAATTCTCTCCTTCAAATATTTTCACAAATGTCAATTTCTCAAGGAAGCTAATATAACAAATTATTTAAAATTGCAGCAAACTCCACCCCCTGCACTCCAATCCTTACCTCATCTATTTTTTTCTATAGAATTTGCTACCTTCAATTGTATAATTTAATTATGTTTATTGTGTATATCCTCTAGTAGAATGTAATCTCTGTGAGGGCAAAACTCTTTGTTTTGTTCACTAATATATCTCAAATTCTGAAGAGTGTGGGTGGCACTCAATATTTATTGAATAAGTAATTAGTATAACATTTATTAGAAAATTAGCAAGAAATTTATAAAAAAAATGGGCAGTTTTAAAAATCCAGATGATACTGGATAGTGTAATTTTTAGTGTGCCCAGTTCATTTATTCATTCATTCATTCATTCAAAAAGGGTAAAAAAAAAGCTATCTGTCAAAAGACTATCTATCAAGGTGATATTTTACCTGGGTCATGAAGGATAAGAAATATTTTGAAAGGCAAAGACAGTGGGGAAGTTTCTATCCAAGAACACCCAACCAGTTAATAAAAGAGACAGTCTATGAAATTACATCCCTAGATACAAAAATAACAGAATGATATTGAAAGATGATATTAACTGAAGTAAAACACAGAATTTCCAAGCAGAATCCAAAGTGAATAGTGAGAGGGACACAGGGTTGTCAACTGACATAGTAAGCATAATGGAAGTCTACGGGGCATAAAAACAGCAGAAGGTTGTGATGCTTCTACATGAGCTTTTTTTTTAAATTCTAAACTATAAATTGAATGGAAAGAAGGCCTTTGATTTTTTAATAATGGAGTTTCAAAAGATTTTTTCTTGCCTATTGTATAACTGTTGATATGCTGTTGCTTTGCTGTGCTTCAAACATACAACTACTCTGCCTATCTCCCCTCACTCACCATTAGTTTTGATTTCTACTTGTTGACATTTGGATGTCAAGAGCAAACTCGGATTCTAAGATCTCCCTTCCTTAGACAATGTTTCATTTTCTGGAAAGTTCCAGAAACTCAAAATTCTTTCCTGTATGGAAAAAATTCCACCACTAACTTATTATTACCTGAATTGTCAAAATAATTTCCTATTAAGGTATTACAAGCTTAATTTTGATTACTGTCTTAATTCAGGTTGCTATGACAAATACCATAGACTGGGTGGCTTAAACAACACATATTTCTCACAGTTTGGCAGCCAGAAGTCCACAGTTAGGGTACAAGCATGGTTGAGTTCTGGTAAAGAAACTCTTCTTAGGTTTTAGACACCGCTTTCTTGATGTATTCTCGCATGGCATAGAAAAAGCTCTGGTCTCTTCATTCCCTTACAAGAGCAACAATCCCATCATGGGGACTCTACCCTTATGACCTCATCTGAACTTAGTTACCCCCTATAAGTCTCTATCTCCAAAAACCATCACATTGAGGATTAGGGCATCAAAATATGAATTTTAGGAGAACACAAGTATTCAGTCCACAGCAGTTACTCTTCAAGTGTTAACTACAGTTTAACTGAAACATTTAAAAAATCTAAAGGGGCACCTGGGTGGCTCAGTCAGTTAAGGGTCAGACTTGGTTTCAGCTCAGATCATGATCTCAGAGACCTGAGACCGAGACTTGCAGCAGACTGCTTGTCCCTCTCCCTCTGTTCCTCCCACCTCTCTCTCTCTCATAAAGAAATAAAATCTTTAAAAAAAATTCTTAAAGCCAAAATGTAAATGAATGAATTTCAAATGTTTGGATTTGGGGTAATGTGAAATGCTTTAGAAAGTGGCATTTCTTTTTTTTAATTTAATTTAATTTTATTATGTTATGTTAGTCACAATGTAATGTAATGTAACATTATAATGATGTTACATCATTAGTTTTTGATGTAGTGAAACAATGAATCGTAGAAAGTGGCATTTCTAGTGCCTCTCCCAAATCACAATGTATAAATGAAAGTTATCCCACCTATATTTAAGGCTTGACACAGTTAACATTTCATCCTAATTATTTGGGAAGCATCATGATGTAGAAAAAAATACTGAACTGTAAATCAAGAGTGTTAGTGATATGACATGTTTCTGAAAGTAAAAGATACTCATAAAAAATGGCCAAGAAATAGAAATATAATTTATACAGGAGGAAATAAATAAGTATAAGAAACAAAATTATTAAAAAATATTGACCATGGTTAGTAATCAAAGCAATCTTATGAGATAATTTCTCATTTAATAATGAAATAAAAATAAAATGATATATACCTAAAATATATATTAAACATTTTATATGTATTATATATGTAAAATATCTTACATGTATATCTTACATACTTTAGGGATGGTGGCACATTTATTCACTGCTGACTGCAAAAGAGGAACAGTGTAAACTGATTCAACCTTCCTCTAGAATTATATGGAACTATGAAGGAAGAGTCATAAATGAGGCAATACTATTTGACTAATAATTTCAATACTTAAAATGTAATAAAAATATCAGCAGAAGGAAAAACAAACTCTAGGAACAAAGACTGATTGCAATACTGTCTATAACAGAAAAACTTTGGAATTAAGTTAAATGTATACAATTAGGAGAATGGTTTAGTAAAATATAATAGATATAATAGTATGCATTCATTGAAATGCTAATTATAAAACCTTGATAATTAAAGGGAAAAGTTAAGAGACTGAAATAGGAAAGAATACTATGGGATCACAACTAAGCAAAAATCTGCATGTTTGTGAACAAAAATAGACAGTGATATGCAAATATGAATATACTTACATTAATGTGGTAGAATTTGGAATGACTATCAGTTATTTTAAATATATTTTGTGTTTTTATATTATATTATTAATTTTAAATGTTCTAGTCCTTTAAAATAGTTGTGTGAGATCTTTGACACATAATGTACATCGATAGGACTTGGTTCCTACACAAATGCTAGTTGTAGGATGAGTATTCAGTACTTTTCATCTTTTAATGAACATTAGGATCACTCATGGAAGTTGTTGAACATGCAAATTGCTAATTCCATCTCAGACTTTGACTTGGTAAGTCTGGGGTAGGGTTCAGGGACCGGCATTTTTAATAAGAAATAAAAATTATATCCAAGTTCCCTTTCACCTTTGACATTATGTGTTTTGGTGTGGTCTCTCAAAAAACAGGAACTCTCTATAATTAAGATAAATAAAATTTCCCTTTTTCTTTTCTTTTCTTTCTTTTTTTTTTTACTTTATTTCTCAGCCTGAAGCAAAGTGGATTCATAAGCTGCTTTAAAAAACAACTGAGCACTTGGTTTCACAGAATGGCCTTACCACAGTAAATACTGGCTACTCTCAGATGAGCATTTCTACTTCTGTGGAACTGTAATAAATAAAAACAAGTCTTCCATGAGTCCCAGGAGCTGATTTTTCATGTAATTTATAGAGGTGATTTTAGAGTTATATGTTTTATTTATTAAGTGCTTGAACTACTCAAGCCAAATTGTTGTAGCATTTCACCCCATGTTCTGAAACTTTAATTTGGAAACCATATCTGAGTTTAGGTGAAAACTTAACAATCTTCCTTCGGATACCCTATCATGTTTTGTTTTATCTATCTTTTACTTAGCATTAAGAAAAAGTAAACAAAGAATGGAGGGAAGGAACCAGATATCTTATGCCCTTAAAAGAAATAGAGGGCTATAGGGGCACCTGGGTGGCTCAGTCGTTAAGCGTCTGCCTTTGGCTCAGGTCATGATCCTGAGGTCCTGGGATCAAGTCCCACATCGGGCTCCCTCCTCAGCGGGAAGACTGCTTCTCCCTCTCCCACTCCCCCTGCTTGTGTTCCTGCTCTCACTGTGTCTTTCTCTGTCAAATAAATAAATAAAATCTTTAAAAAAATAGAGAGCTATATGTAGACAGTAACCGCCAATTCCTCCATACATATACAGACCTCTAAATGTAATCATTTACATTTAGACACTTTTTTTTAGTTTATCACTTTACTTAATAATAAGCTGCAAGTTACCCTGAAAGAATAATGCACATTTGTCAATTATTTTACATTTTCCAGAAATATGCTTGTCACATTTATTCCTGAGAGCAGGAAAGGGGGTGGAAAGAAAGATGATATATTGGATAGATGGATAGATAGATGATACATGATAGATAGGTAGATAGATAGGTGATAGATGATAGATAGATGTCTTAGTCTGTGTACAGACTGATATAACAAAAATACCATAAACTGGGCAGTGCATAAACAACAAAAATTTATTTCTCACAGTTCTGGAGGCTGCGTAGTCTGAGATGAAGGCATCAGAAAGTTCAGGGTCTTGTGAGAGCCCACTTTCTGGTTCATAGACCTCCTCTCTCACTTACATAATGGAAGGGGACTAGGGAGCTCTGGGTCCTCTTTTATAAAAGCACTAATTCTATTTCTGTGGGCTCTACTCCCCCAAAGCCTCAAAAGGTCCTACCTTTGGGGTATTAGGCCCCACCCGAATACCATCACATTGGGAATTAGGATTTTAACATATGAATTTTGGGAAAACACAAACATCCAATCTATTGCAATGATGAATATACAGATAGAGGTATAGACAGATATAAATATGAAGACCTTCTTCATTGCATCCAGTCTGCTTTCTGCCTTTTGTTATAATCTTGACTTCTATTTACTCAGATTTCAGATCCAATTTGTAAAGAGGTGTCATTTTTCTAACCCATTTGATAACCTTACACATGTCCTAAATGACACATAAAAGTTTTTTTATTGCAACATTGTAAATAAGAAAAGTTTAAAAACAATCCAATTGTTTGTTAATAAATGATTGGTTGAATATATAACAGTACTTCTTTGCAATGGAATGACATGTGAATGTGAAAAGGGATAAAGGAGCTTTATGTAGTGGTATGGAAAGATCTCTAACTTAAGTTTTAGTGAAAAAAAAATCAAAGTGAATAACAGAGTATATGCTGTATGAGCTATGGTATATTTTTAAAAAGCAGGAAAAGAAAATGTGTGTGTGTGTGTGTGTGTGTGTGTGTGTGTGTGTATTTACCTGTCATTGCTTAAAGAAACTCTGGAAGGAAACAAAATAAAATAATAAAAACAATTACCTATAAATAACAAGTGATGTTGGAGAAATAAATAAATGAGAAACAGGGATGAAATTTGACCCAATACTGATATTCAGCCAGTATACAAGGATAGATCTATAATTATTGGTAAAATACTTACAAAACAGTTGGTAAACGGCAGCTACACAGTTCACCCTCCACCTCCACCTGAAATGTCTTTTTGGCCTTCTCCCCTAGAACACTAGTGATCCTCCAGGAATTCAAAGCTAAGGCATAATGAAAAGTGTAAAATACTCATTAAGGGAAACTGGTGAAGACTAAAAGAGAAAAGGAGAAATAGTAGGTAGGGAGAAACTACCATGCAGTTCTGATCCACATTAAAGGAGAAAGAAAAAAGAAAGCTGGGAAGGAAGAACCTCAGACTATGCTCAGAGAAAGGCTCAACCAGGCCAATGAGGAGTCCCAAACAAATACTGCTCTTTAGAGGAGTCTGTTGTTAAGTAATATCCTGGACTTGGTATCCCCACAGTGCTAAATCACTAGCTGGCAGCAATCCAGTGAAAGAGTAGCCCTGGCTTACACACTGGTGAATCTCAAATTTGCAGTAGCTTGAGGCTATCAAGTAACTACACTCCTCACAGCAGAAACTTTCTTGAAGTGTGATCTAATCAGCAAATTCCCATGACTGTCACTACACAGATCCACTACTATCTGTACTCACCCCTCCAAAGTTCCTGTGGGCTTCTCCTTAGGTGAAACTTAAAAGAAGTGGAAAAATGATAGCCTTCATCACTGCTGTTAATCTTAGGGCCACAAGTGGATGACCTCCTACACTGTCCATTCTTTCTGCTCATCTTCAGCTATTGCTTCTATAGGTCTTGCTGCCTTATCTGGTGATATGATTTCAAACTGGATTCCTGAAGGTTCTGAGCCCCTAATAATCATACTTCTTTCAAATCCCATTCATAGTAAAAATTGGGCAAGGGAGTCCAGGTGGATCATGTGGCTCCCACAGATATTCCCTTTTTCTTATATTGTGCAAAAGAACTCTAACTTCTCTTGCTCATCAGGCTAAATTACCCTGTCAAAGTGGTGACTCTTCTTCACAGCAGCTGACCTCTAGACAAAAGGAATCCAAACTTCACAACAGCTGGCCCCTAGACATAAGGAGTTCAAAGTTCCCTGGCAGCAGCCATAACCTGTACTTCAATGGGACTATTACTATATCCCTGGCAAGAATATGTCTCTTTGGGGGGGATTAGGATTTATAACACTGCACTGGCCAGAGCTGATGTAACAAGAAGAACACAAGCACCCAGTGAGCCATTGCAAGTGATGGTAAGTGAGGCCACTCCTGAGGACATCCCTTGATATCTAAGCACATGTGTTTTTCCTATTCAAGACACAACATTATATAGAAGTTGCTGTTTTCATGCATACACTGTATCTTAAAGATACACTCAGTTTTTCAGTGTTGCATCCAAGCTAACACTTTATTGGGCCTTCAGTAAATCATTCAAGCTCTCTCTGAGGGCAGCCACTTCTTGATAGTGCAATATATAATTTACCAGTGAATCTCTTGGTCAGAAATTCACTCCCACACCTCCTTTCCTGTGAAGTGAATCCTCTGGTTGGATGCTATACTCCTTCAAGATCATCCCTGAGTGTGGCTGTAATGTAGGTGCCATATATTTATAGCTTGAACCTACATACTGAACCAACTTATTTATAAACCAAATTCAGGCTTTCTCTCCTCATTCAAATATTCATACATGCAAGCTGAGGGAAGGTGCTGGTATAAGTGTGTTGGATGACATAGAGGTCTATGTAACCTATTCATACAATTTATTTATAATCTCTGGTTCTGCCTGGACTTGATCCCAGAATGACCATGTCCATTTCATGATGGATAGCTACTGGGCTGGCATGACTTCTTGATTTGGTAGGTCCAACAGAATCTGGCTTATAATTGGCAGTTCTGGATTCATAATCATTTGGTGCCCCATTATATAGCATTTTGTCTCTATTATGGCCCAGTATCATGCCAAGAGCTCTCTGTTAAAGGACATATAATTCTCAAATATAAATGGCATGGACTTCAGAATCCCAGGGACTTGCATTGAGATTCTCACACTGGAACCTGCCATAAGCTCCACCTTGCACATTTCCCTACCACTGACACCTCCAAAACCATAGAGTTTTCTTCATTATGTGCCACAAGCTGCAGGGCTACTGACACCACAACTCAGACTTGCTGTCAAGCCCTTTTCAGTTTGAAGGTCCCACTGAAATCTGTCACCCTTTAGTGTAACCCAGTAAATCAAATGAAGCAGTATTCTTAGGTGTAGAATATGTTGCTCCAGAATCAAAAGAAGCCCATCAAATATTGTATTTCTTTCTCTTCAGTAATAAATGCAAGATATAGCATTTTTTTTCTTTTCTGTAGAGGGAGCAATGTCTCAGCATGTTTTTGACCACTGGACAAAAATTTTGGTGAAATTGCAAGTTTCTGAATATTTCTAGGATTTATCTTCCATTCCTTGAAATAAATGTGCCTTTATAAAGTCTTCTAGCATACAATTCACCTTTTTTATTATCCTGCCTGATCAGCATAATGCCATTGATATAATATTCTATGGGGTATCCAGGTTTTCCAGAATATTTTGGACTATGTTATGAAAAAGAATGGGAGATTTAACATAGCCCTGAGCAAAACAATAAATGGATATTGTTGTCTGTCTCATATGAATGAAAACTGTTTTCTGTTTCTCATTTCTGATTGAATAGAAAATAATTAGTTACCAAAATCAGTGTAGTTGAGGTCTTACTAATTTGATCTAGCAATGGTATCATGTCCAGCAGAATAACTGCAATTGGAGATACTACCTGGATGAGCTTGTAGTAGTTTATAGTCATTCTCCATGATTCATCCAGTTTCCTCAGTAGCCAGACTGGAAAATTAAGCAGAGATATGAGTGGGACTGTCTGGAATACTTTAGCTCTTTAAAAGTAGTATAAATCATTGCCAAATGGATCCAGGGATGCTATGTATATTTTACTTTTCTCCTGGGGGGTGGAGGAAGTTTCAAAGGTTTCCACTTGATTTCATTACTATAAAAGCTCCTACATTACAGTCCATGAAATACATAGAGGGTTACTCCAACTGCCAAGTATGCAACTGGAAATGATACAATTAGAGGTTGAGGAAATGACCAGTGGGTGGGTTTGCAAGATCCATTAGACCCGTAGTAGTTGAACCATAACAAAGACTATTACCTGTTCACATGTACTTGTTTTCTAGGGTAGCCTAGCAAAGTAGC